GTTCACAAACTAGGAATTTTTTATGGTACAATCGTGCAACATGAAACATATAATATGGAATAGGTAAATAAAATTATAAAAATATCTAAAAACTGTGGGTATACGTCATGCAATAAAATAGACTAATGTATACACTTAAGATAAAAAATATGGATACAAAATATAAAAAGTAAAATAGCATCTTACAAGGAGACAACTAGTTTATCTGGTGACCAGTCGGCAAAATGCGTGTTTGGTGCTGCTGAATGAGACATTTTAATGCACAACAAAATGCAAGATTCTGCTTGATCTGTATATTACCTGGCTAATGGGGCACGGGAGAAGCAGCCTGTCAGCGACCGTTCCTGCTATCTGAAAACTGCTATGATGCTGCGCATCTGGCATGCCCTGCGGGCGACCGAGCGAGTTCACGTGACAAAGGAAGAGAGAGAGGCTGGTCGGGTGTGCGCAGGTAGGTCGGTCATTTCGGGGCATTGTTTCAGTCGTTTTTAATGGCTCAGGTTTTCAAAAGATCATTTCAAAACCGACCTCAGTAAAATCTTAATAATATTAATAATAATAATAATAAAAAAAAAAAACGAGTTTCAAAAGGGCATTTTCTTTGATAGAGGGCAAACTTCCTAGTGCTTTAGCACCACCTAGTGTCTATGTGTGCACGCCCCTGGTCATTGTTAATGATAAATGTAATTGGAAGTCATTTAAGTAATTAAAAAATGAAATATAAACTTTACTTTATTAGATAGAAAAGTAAAAGATTAACTGAATGATGAAGCCATGTATGTTTATGTTTTATAACTGTGTGATTGTTCTTTATGTGGTTGATTATTGGTAGCCTGACGTAGTCCGACGAGTCTGATACTGCTCCATAGAGCTGTGATTATGGGGCGTGTTTCGAACGAACCAGGAAAAAAAATGCCTCTGCACTCAATTGGATAGATCTACAACCAATAAGAGCAACGGAGTGCGTGACGTATGTTAAGCGAGGCATAGTTGTTGTCCACAAAAATCAAAGCGTGCAGTTTCACGCCTAGAATAAGAAGATGAGACTTGATCGCGTTTCTCTGTTCCTCTTTTAAAATTAATTTGCTGTCTATATCTTCTAGAACAGACCTAATAGCAGAATCTACTCACCCAAACTCTCCAGCGGCAGCCATTATTGTTGTCACCCAAGCGCGCTTTGGTCACGTGGTTGATTACGTTACACTTGATCATCTGTCCATCATCGTATAAAGCCCGCCCTGACAATTTGATTGGATCGCCTGACAGTGGGCGATAATACTCGCGCTACTATGGAGCAGAGCCAGACCGAACTTCCCCGAACTCAAACCTTGTGGGCGGGACTAAGTTCGGACTGGCACCCAGGCTAGATTATTGGGTAATTTGGGGGTCTACCTGTAAAACATATTCCAACTCAATACATATTAACACAAAAGACTCATCAGCATAGAGCAGCAAAGAGAACCAATAAATCCAAAACTCTTACAATTGAAACCGATGATGCTTTATGTCATAACTGCTTTGATGACCAAGGTCCAAAATCCTTTTACAAGTAAAGCTAAAGTAAACATTAATTGCATAAGAAAATATTTATAATTTTAAAGGTTTAGAGATGAAAAAATAAAACATAAAATCAGAATGTATAGCAAAGTTAATGTTACACAGGATTAGTCTATGTCATAGTTTAAAGGTGTAGTGGAAGATTTTTGCAAATTTTTGAAAAAACCCACCTTCTCCACTTCAAAAAAAAAATGCACAAGCACAACCCTGTACCCGCTCCCGAGAGGGAATGTCTATTAAAGGTGTGTGAGAGCGTGCACGAGCACATTTCTCATGCACGCTCTGTTTAAAAGTTACTGTTTGCATTACTTATACAAGCTACTTTCCAAAAGAAGATTTGTATTTTTTCCACTATGTCAGACTCTCCACCGATAAGGGAAAATGGAGAAGAGCACACAGGACGACCTTTACGTAAATATATCATCAGCATGATTGACAAGTAGGAGGACCACTTATTTAGATGATTTAGATGTTCCACCTGAAAAAAGAACATCCTCCACTATTTCTTTAACCTAAAATATAAAAGAATGCAAAATAATGTTTAAAAAAATAAACAAACCCAATATAAGGACTCGTGTTAACTCAGTGAGAAACCTAATGTTTTTTGAGATCCCAACTAGATATTTCTTCCTCTCTTTCTATTTGGATAAATATTTACTGATGTTTACACTATTATGGTATATTTTTTCTAGCATTTTTTTTTTTTTTTTTTTACAATGATAGTGGTTATGTACAAAATAAAAGTTCCCATTGCTACCCCCTTTCATTCATTTTTATTGTTTATGAAACATGAATTGTTTTATTTATGAATTAATTGAATATCAGAATCAAATCAAAGATGACATGTCATATAATATTTTGAGCTCTCAAGAGTGCTATTAGCCATGCACATTTTAAATATTTTATTGGTGATCAAAACAGCTGTGACTAAACATGTCTGCTCTGATGTTGAACATAAAGAACGACTAAACGACGTTTTTACCCAGTTTGCTTCATACTTCCTGTTTAGTCTTTTTTTTTCCAAACTACAATGCATATTTCTATTCATTCATTTGCTTTTTTAAGCAATAATTTGCTTCTTTCTGTGTAAAACAAAGGTAGTTCTACACAAAATTTACCAGAGGGGCCAGGATGGGGGTGCAATAAAAAGTATATTAAGTCAGCCACAAAGCCATAGTTGTATATTACTAATCCAACAGATGAAAACTGGTGTTTTTATCTTAATCCAGCTAATGTCAACAATGGGTGGTGAGGTTGCTTGAGGACCCAGATGCAGAGACAAGTGAAGCAGGGATGAGTTCTGAGAGGTTTAATTGTTGACCAAAAAGCAGCAGAGGCAGAAAACCAGAAATCCAACTCAAAATATAAAACAAACCAAAATCATGGAGACATCAGGGTAGAGACGAGTCTGAGGAGCCAGGGAGAGACGAGCAGAGTAGAAAACACAGCAACAAGAAGGAACCAGCACTGAGAGACTGCAGAGGTGGAGTATTTAACCCCTTGAACCCTACGGACCCACCGGCGGGTCCAGCTGCTACATGACCTTGTAGTTTTACCAAACCCCCAGTTTTGATGTAAAAAACATATTTGGCACAGTTTGGTGACATTTATGGATAAATGTGCCAAAATGGCCTCTCCGCCTAAGAAATTTCTCACTAATACCATTCTAAAATAAATATGATTCATCTGATTGAGTCCACATTTTGTATATTTTTACACAACATTTAGATTTGAAAGTCTGTACTACTTTTTTGTGCTATAAATAATATTTTGGTAGTGTTTTGCAATGTTTATTTCAAAGAAAATTTTGGCGAGGTTCAAAAATTGCAAAATATTTTGTATTTTGTCCCTAATATTTCAGGCAGGGTCAAAGCTACAATGGTGCTGACACCAGAAAACCATTCTATGACATCTTACCTTTACAGACGTACCAAAAGTTTCTTCTTAAATCTAATAGCTTTGGGGCTATAAGTTATTTACTTTTGTGTGTTTTTGTCAGGCAGAAATTTATTTATATCCCCTTAGGGTGTAAGAGGTTAAGGACAACCAAACAAAAGGATGGACTAACGAGCTGAATGGGGAGCAGGTGTGGGTGGAACTGGCAAGAGGGAATCCAAGGGAAAAGAAAACAATCACAAGGGGGCAACAGAGAGTAACTAAAGAATGCTTGAAGATCATGGAAAATAACAAAACAACTGATAACAGAAAACTGAAAACTCAGAGTCACAACAAATAAGAACCATAACAGCTAAAGCTTAAAGGTGACTGATATTTTTTAATAATTTAGTAAAGGTGAGAAATTTATTTGGTCCAAGGAACAAATCAGCTTCAAACTGCAAAAATGGTCCATATAATCAGGCTCTAGCCAAAAAACCTTTGATAACAAAGAGCAGATTCTGTTAGATTAATAATCTGCTAATCTTCTTTCAAGAAGATTCTACTCAAAATAAGTGCAATAATCTGCCAAAGCAGTGAGACAATTACACTTTCTTAAGACTTCTTGAAATCATGATGTACATTCTCAAAACAAGATCAAAAGCATCTTGGCTAGCTCTAATATTGTTAAACAGTTTTCACTTGCAGTCCCTTCTGTCAGTGCATATCATAATAAGAAATAATTTTGGTATTACACAGCAAAAACTATTCTAAAAAAATAAAAATGTATCTTAAATATGCATATTTGCCCATAAACTGAGCAGATAAATGATAAATAAGCTGATATACCCAAGGAATTTGTTCTTGAAATAAGATAAATATGTATTATCTACATAACATAAGATAATTGAGAAGTTTAAAAAAAATATTTTAAAGGTAAATATTCTTATTGTATTAGCAAACTCTTACTTACATTCTCAAATCAAGAGAAATTACACATTTGACAAGAAAATGTAACATTTTAACATTTGCAATATATGTTTTATATACAGGAGCCATAAGACGGGCCAGGATCAGTACTAGAGTCTGTCTAGAACTGCAAATGGCAAACGTTCCAAGAAATTAATTTTTTATTTTTTAGTGTTATAAGTTGGATGACTATAAAGACTGTTAACATATGCCGTTTTAAATGGATTTATATATGGATTTAACTTTTAGATTTGAACTGTAGGAATAAACCAACTTTTTTGACCATTTTCTTATTTATCAACATGGATCTTTACTGCGTCCAGTCCAGTTTGCGTTATAGTGAGCGAGCCCATCATCCAGCGCTGGCAAACACAAGTAGCCTATTCATTATTCATGTCATTGCAGTTGCTCTGTTATGATACAGTCCTGTTTGGAGTGGGCTACCTGATTTGTTCAGCGCGTCCGTCAAAGCAGTGCGTGGCCTTGCGTCGGCTGGCTGTGTGCGCTCATAGGTCGGGCATAGAAGAATCACAGGAGGAGGGGGGGGAGGAACGGCACGGTGCGCGCATACGAGACTGCGCGTCGCAACGGAGGGGGAGAGGTCCAGCTGCAAAAAAAAGAAAGAAAAAAGAACTGGAAAAAAAAGAGAAAAAGGAGGAAAATACGGCGTGACAGTGACAACATCAAGCTTCTAGTAAAAGGGCGATCAGACGCGAGAGGAGGAGGAGGGGGGGGCCGCCGCCAAGCAGGAGTTTCAGAGTCGACGGCCGCTTTGCCTGTCCCGAGAAAAGAGGCGATATCGGGACATGCTGGCGGTTCCGTAACGCGTTTCCTGGAATACGAATCCTTCCCAGGCTGAGCGACATGGAGCGGCGGCGGAGAGGAGAGCCGCTCCGTCTCCATCACTGAGAGGCGCGTCCACCTGCTATTACTGGAGGCCCGGGCTGCTGCTGCTGCTGCTGCTGGTGGAGGGGGGGATATGCAGGGGAAGTGTTTGCATTTCGGGAAAAGACGCATCTTCTGATACTGTCCAGCGCGCCTGAGAGGGATCCCATTGCGACGGAGGAGAAAAACCAAGGAAAAAAAGGGGCGAAAAAAAAAACCCCGCACACGCGCTCCGGAGGTAGGTCCGCAAATTATTATGCTGCTATTCAACGTGCCGTGTGTGGCTGAACAGCCAGCGAGCTCTATTAGGTATGCACATGACAACTAGGACCACAAAATCGGGTTATATTCCCCAGATTTTGCTGCGATCAGGCTTTTATTTGTGCTGCTTTATAAAGGAGGAGAACAGCGTGCATGCGGTGGAGAGTAGCAGCCCTGCCTCTTTGGAACAGCTGCCTTTAAGCCTACATTCATCCGTCTCTGCTCCATCGATTACCCATTCCCTGCGAAAAAATACCCCCGCTTACCTAAAGCTCAAGCCCCCACCTTTTCTCTGAGGTTTAAAATAAATAAAAATTAAAAAAATCAACATAAATAAAGGATCCCACGTGTGGCTGCTCCAATGTGAGGCAGCTATGCTCTATGTGCATGTTTTGGAGACAAACAGTGGCCTGTGAACGTCATTTTGAATAAACGTTATGCATCCTGAGCAGTGCTGCCCCAGTATGAATGCAAAATGAATGGATCCAGATTCCATACTAATGAATGATTCATAAATGGGTTATTGTGACCTAATGGGATAACACATTTTGCAGAGACTCATCTAATTTATCATCCATTAACAGTATTTTCTTTATTTAAATGAAAAGGAGATCTGGCCTTAATGTAAAGCATGGCAGAGTGCACACAGGTGCAAGCAGGGGCATGTGTGAATGCCTGCACTGTGGGGTCACTAGATCAGTAGCTTAGTGTGTCTCTGCTCCCCTTTAAGGAGGCTTCATGACAGATGTTTACTGGAAGTCCCAGCCAGGCACACAGCCAGCAGCATTCTAAAAAATAATGAGCTGCAGACCTCAGTAACAGCCTGTCTGCATGGCTCTGTGGAGGTGTAACTTTGCACTAAAGAAGATTTTAGTTGCATCACATCTTACAAGTACAGAAATAAATGCCTGGGTGATTTTATTCGCCGAGTATGAATTTTAAATCAGAATGTTGAATGTGGATTTCTGACTGGGTTTGATGTAACCTTTTTTAACAGCCTTTTCATCACTTTCAGGGTATGTAGAGCGTTTGGTTCCTGGACATATAAACGACATGACGTGGATAAGTCAGGATTTTTCAAATACTCCTCTGTTAAAAGTTAAAAAGCAGTTAAAATTGTACCTGCTGGTTCTTGATGCGAAAGCTAATGACAATTTCAAAAGGGAAGTGGACTTGCACCATCTTAAAGCAGTTATATGTATCAAACTGGTATTGGATATGCTCATTATTTTACAGATAGGTTGATAATTATTCAGGCAGAATGTAGAAACTGGAGGCAATGCAGCAATAATGAGCTTCCTGCGTGAAACGGATACCGAGAACAAACAACGTGTTTGCGAGTAGAGTAACAAATAGAAAAATTAAGCTCTATAAAAGTTGAATTTTGTGAATTCAGTTGCTACATTTCTCCTTTGTATAGCACTATAGTTTTATATCAGAGATTTACTCTGGAAAAACCTGTTTTGTTTCCAGCAACTTACCTCACAGAGAGAACACTGATGAGCAAAAGCCCTGGGCGTTTCTTTTTTTTGTTAAACTAGGAGCTTATGAAGAAAAAAAAAAAAAAAAAAAAAAACATCCAATGCTTTAAAGGTTTCTAAATAGTATTTGCATAAACTGCAGTGAGTTTCTTTGGGATGATTTGATTCTTTCTAAATCCAAATATGAAGCGAATTCTTTATTGTGGGGAAATTTACCCTCTGCATTTAACCCATCCCCTTGGGGAGCAGTGGGCTGCCATTGTGTGGCACCCAGTGAGCAGTGTGGGGTTAAAGGTTTTGCTCAGGAATCCAGAGTGGAGGCTGTGGGGATTGAACCGGGTATTTGCAACCTTTTCAGAGCACAAGCGCACTGCTCTAACCACTAGACCAACACCATCAAGGATATTAACAATTGTTGCATTAATCTGAATATTTTGTTGGATGGTCTGTGTCAGGATTTTTAGCTGATCCTGTTTTCCCCTAAGAAATGCGACATAAGATGTTATAGGAATTTGATCAATTATTTTTCTCTTTTGTTGCCGCCAGCACATGGGCGGTTCTAGACAGGGGCCAACGGGGGCCAGTGCCCCTGTAGATAATGTCCTGGCCCCTGTACTGAATAAATAATAAGAAATTTTAATGATGGAACAGACATAGTTACTCATAGGTCCTTTGGATCTATTTCATTCTTTTTCTTTACAAATTCTGTTTTACTGATTATTAAAAAAACAATAAGGTGATAGCTTCAGTGGTATTGAGATAGGATCCCTGTTTTCATCTATCTGCTAAATGTTTTTTTCACAACAAATAAAAAAAATGCTCTAATTTTTACAGATGAATTTAACAGTTTTTCTTGAGTTCTAATTCCAATTTTATAGAAAATGGTAGTTTTAACTTAAATTAGGTCAAGAATATGTAAGATTCCTAAATGATAAATGTATATTGACCTCATAAGAAATTTAATTTTTATTGAACCTAATTGAAAAGAAATTTCATTTCATGCAGCTCTTATATATTTGAACCTCTTGCCCTGTTTTTTTATTTCATGCTTTTCTTTGCCCCCTTGAAAACACGCTGGCCCCCTCCTGGCCCCCTGGTACATTTGGTCTAGAACCGCCACTGCACCAGCAGTTATTATTTACAGGTTTTTCTAATGACTATTTTACATCCTACTTTGACAGTTAGCACAACTTACACAGTTTGTGCTCTGATTATTCCTAAACCTGCAATCTGTTTGAGTATTTCCAGAGAATTTAACTCCTTGACTTAACTCTAGATCCATCATTTACTAAGGCAATCAGAGGTTGAAAACTCAATAGGATCAGAGCTTCCCTGCTGTAATCTGTTTAACCTTCTTTTTTTTTGTGGTGCTGAAAGCCTCACTCTGTAGTTGCCTGAATGTGAACCATATACACCTAAAATACATTTTCCTTTCAAACACCACCTCATATGTCTGTCATTCCTCTTAGTTCATTTTAAACACCTCACAGAAGCTCGGAATACTTAACTTTGAGTTTTTTTCCACTCAACAAAACCATCCAAACTGTGCTGTTATCAGAGGAGCCTTGCAGGGCTTATGGCGCGTTCACTGACTGAAATGAGATCAGATATTTGAGCTTTTGACCGGTCAGGGCAGCTCAAGCTGAAAATTGTCCAATTCCAGTGCATCTCTACATAATAATTTTAAACTGCAGGGGGTTCAGGAGGGGATAATGCCGCTGCCCTTTCCTCCCCTAATGTGAAGACAGCAGAAGAAACCAGATGGAAGGCCATGCATTGATTGAGTCAAACAAAGCCTTTAAGAGGGACAAATTGAGTTGACAGGTTCATGGGTGGTGTTGTTATCATGTGAGGCGGCACAGTGGACCACAGGGCCAAAGGCAGCGTGACGAGTGGAGGCTAGAGCTCCTCTTTGATGCAACCTTATTTGGAGATCATTGGTTTGGAAAAGATGATCTCCATCGAGTCATTATGCACCTCAGACATGTCATGTTCCGGGGGCATTTCTGAGGCACAGTTAACTTTTCAGGCAATCTTATTCTTTTCATTAAAGTGCTATTTTCCGTTCTGTTCTATCTGATAGGAAATTAAGCCCAATTACGCATTGAGATGTCGTTTCTGTTGCAAGGAAAGCAAATGAGGAGCATCTTTTTTTTGGGGGGGGGGGGGGGGGGGGGGGGGGAGTTATGTTGCAGCAATAAAACCAGCAGCCTGTGTACACAGATCCTTATCTTCCCCTCATGTTCGCTGTGTGGCTACATCAGCCTGCAGACCTCAGAACGACCCTCAGTCATTCTGAACTGATCTTCATCAGCCGTCCTTTTAATCAACGAAGGTTATTATTCATAAAGCAGCATCTTGATTTGGATTAATATTTTACACTCTGTATATTTGCTTCCCTCTCACGTGGCAGAGGGATAAGATCCCCCTCTGTATCATATAGAAGCTGCAGGTTTAGAGTTTTTACCAGGTGACAACATCTCATTAAGCATACAGAAAAGGGCTTCCCTCGGCTGCGTGGAGCCCTGCTGCGCTTTATGACTGGTCTGCCACATTTTGCTCTGCTGGCTGCATCACTTCAAGCACCTTAGCTCTGTCTCAGTCCTGGCAGATGCATGCTGGGCCCATCAGGACCAGCTGAATCGTATCAGCGCACTGTTTATGTCGGAGGATTGTACGCAGAAGCCTGCTGGGTGGACCCAAGCCCCTTGTTTAGGCTGTGAGATGCTAGCTGCAGCCCAGCGGAGGTAGCCTTTCTCTGTGCTGCTGCTGACTTCGGTAATTAAAGGCAGAGGTAAGTCCAGGGGAGAAGGCTGGGCTCTGATTGCTTTTCACTGCGGTGAGGAGGGAGCTGCTGCACATCCTGGGGGACTGAGGCGCTGCTGAGCTCTCTGCTCCCCCCCCACCACCTCCTCAGCTGGGAAGGGCTCCAGGAAGACACTTGCACATACATTGTGTTGCATTGATATTCATACCCCTTGAACTTTTCACATTTTGTTGCTTTAAACACACAAACTTCCGTCTGTTTTCATTTGATTTTATGCAAACGATTAACCCCACAGTTGCGAACAATTAGAATAGAGAAAGTGGTTTTTAATACGTTTTCTTTTTTTACGAATTGAAATCTGAAAGACCCTTCTCTTAGCATGCATTTATTAGTCATCCCCCTTTACTCTGATACTGCAAATAAAAACTAATACAAATAGCTTCTTTCAGGAGTTGTGGATTAGTGTGTCTAGTATGTAATTTAATCTCATTATTACATTCCTATATAATTGTTGAATAGTATTATTACCCTTGACCTCCGTTTTATTTTCGACCATTACCTGACCTCAGTCACTAATTTCCATACATTCCGTGGGAATAAAAGACAATAAAGGAGCCAAAATGCCGATTATCTGCAGACAGTGTTTTAATATGTTGCACCTGGAATGTATCGATGTAATGCACCAAAACAACCCTTTTGTAATACAACATTTCAGACCTTTATATTATG